GGTGTCGCACATCTGTCCCGAGCTGGTCTGCACCACCGGACAGGTGTTCCAAAAGTTCACTTACGACATTTTCAAGTTGAAGGAAAGCAGCTCTATAAAGCTCTACACAGAACCCTCTTCAGAACATCTCAACTATCCCTTGAAGACACAAGAAGCAGAGTCGGTACTTTTCTGGAAAAGCCATCGGCATTGCTGGAATCAGTAAACGTAGACGCCGCGCTGCGTCCGAGGGCTACGGTTGCAGAGAGGAGCGGTTTATTTCTTGTCAAAGCCGAGAGCCCGACGCCTTCTGAAGTTAGAGACGTGACGAGAGAGGAGGAGACATTTTAAGCTCCCTGACGCAGGAACGAACCAAAGCTGGACCAGTTCGTTCCTTTTACCCAACAGGACAAGCATCGTCTTGTAGTTTAGTTTGGGGACGGTGCACCACAAATAAAACAACAAACACTGACTAGAACTCAGACTCCTCAGCCAAGGCGCTCATGTTCTTGGTTGAAGGACCTGTCCTAACTGAGTCTTTGTACTTCTAAAGCAGTGGTCCCAACACTGGCCCTTGAGGAACACCATCCTGCATGTTTTGGTTTCTCCTCTGCTTTAACACACCTGATTCAGTGATCCACGTTCCGCAGAAGCCTGTTAATGACCCCTTCATTCAAATCAGGTGTGATGGAGCGGAGAAGAAAGTAAACCATGCAGGATGGTGTTCCTCAAGGACCAGTGTTGAGAACCACTTTTTTTTGTTTATGATTCAGGGAGCTGCGATGCTGCTATAAGTTACTGTTCCAAGAAGTTCAGGGTTCAGTGAAGAACCAATATCAAAATCGTTTTACAGAAACAGGAATCTACGGGAACCCTACAAAGATATCAGCAGCACAGATCAGCATCAAAAACTTTGAACGTCTGAAAATCCCTTCAGAGGCTTCCGTGTTTGGGACGCGACGCATCTAAAAATAGGATTTTACCCCTTCCCTCTAATGTTACGACCTAAAGTTTAGCGAGGTATTGCTCATCGCGATTTCAAGTGAAGACTCGTCACGTTTTCCTCAGTTCTGTGCATCAGCGACAGAAATAATAATCTACCGCTGAAGGTTTTCGGTGCCAAGTCATCTGATTATTTGCAAAAAAACGCCTACGTCAGCGTTTCACGGTCCTTCCACGAAGTACCGGCAGCTCTCTGGTCGTGTGGTTTTCTTCAAGCACAGACGTGACAAATCTCACAAGTGGTTTTGTTATCCTCCCAGTCGAGGATCAGCATCAAGGACATGGTGGTGATGGAAGACAACACAACCAACGCCTCTCGTGTGTCTACATATCCACCGACACCGTGGCTCGAATGGAAGGGGAAACAGATAAATATATTAAAACAAGCCGAGTCTTGAGGCCCACAAGAATCCAAAGGGCACCGACTAATTCCTGGAACTGTTGCAATTCTTGTGAAAAGTTCAGAGCCTGCACACAAACAGGAGCACGGGCATCTGAGGACGAACCACACCTGAGCTTTAGCACATTTGGCTCGCGCATGCGCATTAACTCTCCAAAAAAAAAAAAAAAAGCGTAGCCTCAAGATTTTTTTTTTCTTTTGTTTGTTTTTTTTTACGAAAAATTAACAAAAACAACAAAAAAAAAAAGGTATGGAACAAAAACCACATTTAAAAATTATAAAGTTACCAACCCTGTCGTCGCTTTACAGTAGTTATAAACTCCGCTTAAAAACATATAAATAAATAACTATGTTTGTTTTAGTTTATATAATTTTAGCGTCAGCGTCTTTACACACCTGACACTCGAATACAAAAACACAACTCGTCAAACAGGTTTTAAAAAAACATTAACTTCAAAGGCCGTGACCCGACTGCTTCAGGCTAACGTTAGCTTAGCTAATGCGGAAGTGGATGACGGCCATTAAAAACAAATTTTAAAAAGTAAAAAAAAACAACAATAATAGTTTATATTAGCGGATTGATGCCTGCAGAGGTAAATGATGTGCACATTTTTAAACATGGCCCTCTTTGTTTGTTTTCTGGAATTGGAAGGCCGAGTGGTTAAAACGCTGTTTTGATCCGAACTCACCACTTGGTACCGGCTGGCTGGGTCCATGTTGTCGAGGCTGAGCGGGCAGAACAAGCGAGCCCCGGAGAAAATATAAATAAATTAAAAAACAAAGATATAAATCTAACTTGCGTTTTACTCCGAAGTGTTTTTGTTGTCAGGGAGAGACTGGATCAGCGGCCCCAACAAAGGGGAGAGCTAAAAAAAAATGGCCGCAACGCAACCTCGAGCTCGATGACAAAACAACTGCACGTGACGTCACTCAGGGCGCTGCTCAAGTTAACCACATCCGCTTAGGCTTTTCAAAATAAAAAAATCATGCAGCCAATTAAAAAAAAAAGTTAAACAAAACGAGTTTATAGGAATATTTTTGGCAATTTCGAGCTGCTGTTTAGTAGTCTTATGAACTAATAATATAAATAATAATATATATATTTTTTAGATAAATAAACAACTTTGGTCCAAGTACAGAGCCTTGAGGAACTCCACACGTGATATTGCACAGGTCAGATCTTACACCATTTATTTGTACAAACTGTTTCCTATCTTTTAAATAGCTAGATACCCAGTGTAATGCTGGTCCTCTTATACCATATTTATTTAATTTTTCAAGGAGAATAGTGTGGTCAATAGTATCGAATGCTTTTTTTAAATCAACAAAAATACAAACACAATACTGTTTTTGATCGACAGCAGTAGTTATTTGTTCTATTAATTCCATGAGAGCCATTGATGTAGAGTTTTTTGCTCTAAACCCATACTGACTGTTACTTAGAATGTTTTGTTTAGTAATAAATGTATCTAATTTTTATAAAAGAGTTTGAATCTGACTGGACTGACAAGTGTTAGTATTTTATCTAGTCCAGCCCTGGGTTTTTGATCTGCTCAAAGATGGATTATAATGAAATTATGACCCGGTTCTGACCCGTTTAAACAGGGCCAGCAACGTCTACCAGGGATTCAATATCCGTCAAGGAATAGAGTTTTTATTTATTTGTCATTTCTTTATTGGCTCGCCGCACCACGTAGAAAGGCTTTGTCTGCCACCGTATTATTTTTTCTGACACGTCAGATCACATAAGAGCCAATGACATCACACTTAGTCCGCCCCTCTATCCACTTGATAGGCTGTGCTCCTGGAAGGAGGCGGAGCCTAGGCCCCATATAGTTGGAAGGCAACGTGTCATTCGGCCCTTCTGGTCCAAGATCTGAATTCACGTTTCCTGGATTTATTGAGAAAGTGTGAGTTACTACTTCTGAGGGAGGTCCGAACCGGGAGCCGCGCGAGCTGGAGGCGGGCCTGGGGTCCGAGATCTGTAATATAAGATGGAGCTAGGTTGTTGAGAGCTTTGTAGGTTAGAAGTTAGATTTTGAATTATATTCTGGATTTCACAGGGAGCCAATGGAGAGAAGCTAAAACTGGAGAGAGGTGATCTCTCCCAGTAACTCCAGTTAAGACTCTGGCAGCAGCATTTTGGATCAACTGAAGACGTTTTAAAGAATTATTTGGACACCCAGATAATAAACCATTGCAATAGTCCAGTCTAGACGTGACAAATGCATGGACCAGTTTTTCTGTGTCATCTTTAGATCAGATGTTTCTAATGTTAGTGATATTACGCAGGTGGAAGAAGGAGGTTCTAGTAACGTTTTTAATGTGGGGGATAAAAGACATGTCCTGATCAAAAATAACACCAAGATTTTTAACGTTAGAGCTGGAGGACAGATTAATGCATCTAAGGAGGGAGAAAGAATGAAGATGCTCAGCTCCAAAAACTAAAACCTAAGTCTAAGATTAAAAGCAGAAAATTAAGGGTCATCCAGGTTTTTATGTCTTGAAGACAAGCTTGTAGTCTAAGTAGCTGATTGGATTCATTGGGTTTAATGGACAAATATAATTGTGTGTCATCAGCGTAACAATGAAAATTTATCCCATGCTGTTTAATAACTTTACCTAATGGAAGCATATATAAAGTAAATAGTATTGTCCCAAGCACTGAGCCCTGAGGAACTCCATGACTAACTTTGGTGTATGAAGAAGATTCATTATTTACATTTACAAACTGGAATATATCAGATAGAGATGATTAAAACCATTTTAGAGTCGTTCCTGTAATTCCAACATCATATTGTGATGAACTGTATCAAATGCAGCACTGAGGTCTAACAGAGACACAAGTCCATTGTCTGAGGCCATGAGAATATCATTAGTGACTTTTACTAGTGCTGTTTCTGTGCTATGACGAGCTCTAAACCCTGACTGAAACTCTTCAGATTATTTATTTGTAATATATTATTACATACAGCTTACTTTGTCAGATAGGAATTATTGACGGCAGATTGTATAAATGGTTGTGTAAGAAGAAGGACTGTGTTTACAAGAGCAAGAATCGAGTCCTTACTTTAAGTGAGACCATATGAGTGCATCTCAGTATTAAAGGGGAGTTAAATGAGGCCAAAGTGGCCATTTTGAAGAACTTCCGGCTCAGCATCCAGCAAAAATCATTACGTAATTTATTTTAATTTGAAGGGCCATTTTTACTAGTTCCGGTTTAAGCTCTGACTAATAGTAACTGGACACCAGGGGGTTGCTCACGGATTTCCATGGAAGTTGATGACGTCAAGGCAAAACTGATACAGTTTAAATATTCTTCACCACCAGGGGGCGCCAAATCTTTGTCTTTTTCTCCATCAAGTTCATTTTTTTCGCGATATTTTTCGCATAATTACGATTATTTATGAAATCGCAATAATTTCAATATCACTTAACCCACAGTTTCAAACCATCATATTATTCTTTGTTTAGAAAAGTATGGTAGTTAGTTTGCTTTTGAGTAAAAGCTTGGCGGAAGGGTGACGTAACATCTAGCGTTGTATGGAAAATTCAGAGAACACATTTTAAAACGAATTCCTGAAATTATGAGCCAACTGCTCTAGGAAGTTCAACGTTCGCCATGTTCTCACCCATCCTAGTGTAAAATAAATAAAAGTAGAAAAATCACATTTCCTACAAAAATGCAGTGTGAAAGCTGATTGCTGAAGAACTTGCTGAAAAAAGCTGAAATTAGCTTAAGAAATGCTAAAATTGTAGCTGAAAAGGTGGAACAAGCTTAAATTAGCTGAAGAAAGCAGAAAGAACACAAAAAAGTGGAAATTATCTGAAAAAAACTGAAAATAACAACAACAGCTGAAAAGTAGCTAAAAATCAGAAGCTTAAGTTAGAAGAAGAAAGCTGAGAGAGCACATTTTTGCTGAATTAGGCAAAAAAAAGAGTGAAAAAAAGTGGAATTAGCTGAAAAAGCTAAAATCAATGTAAAAACAGCTAAATAGAAGCTGAAACAGCAAAAACGAGCAGAAATAAAGCTGAAACGAGCATCCATCCATCCATTTTCTTTACCCGCTTATTCCATTTTGGGTCACGGGGGTCGCTGGTGCCCATGTCCAGCAATCACTGTGCGAGGGGCGGGGTACACCCTGGACGGGTCGCAAGTCCATCACAGGGACACATCGAGACAAACGAGACAAACAACCATTCACTCTCTCTCTCACACCTAGGGACAATTTAGAGTTACCAATCAGCCTAACATGCATGTTTTTGGACTGTGGGAGGAAACCGGAGCACCCGGAGAAAACCCACGCATGCACGGAGAGAACATGCAAACTCCACCCAGAAAGGCCCCTGGACCGGGGTTTGAACCAGGGACCTGCTCGCTGAGAGGCAGCAGCTCTACCAGTTGCGCCACCGTGCTGCCCATGAAAAGCTGAAATGAGCTTTTCAACTTTTCAAGTCGTGAGTTTTCACATCACAAACAACAAGTTTTAGGAGAACAGAGAACATATTAAAGCCAAATGTGCGCGTGTCCGAAGATGCCTTTAAAACCTAAAGGACACTTTGTGAAGTCGTGAGTCATATCTCTGTCCTGTCTGACTCATTACTGAACTTATCCTTACTGCAGTCAGCCAAAAGCTGCTGAAAGCACCGTGAACAATGCACGCACAGAGTATTGACAAAAGGCTCTACTTGAATTAAATATTAATCCAGTTGGCTGAGAAGGGGATTACTGTTCTACATGTATCAGTTAAGCAGCTCGCTGAGTTGGAGGGCGATGGAGCATAAGAGGTATGTACAAATAAATATGGTTTGGCTCTGGGGGCATTTTGGACGACGTGTTCCTGAAACAAACCGGCACGAGAGTTAAAACGACTTTGGCCAGTCGCTGCTGGCACGTCAAATTTTACAGCCAATAATGGCACCTCAGGGCATCCATCACCCACACCCACACATTCTCCTGCACACACACCACGAGTGGGATGCTGTTACTTGGCAACATCGTTTCAAGGTAAATAGGTGCTATAAAAAGGTGTTACATAAAGAAAGAGTGGGCGTCTCTGTCAGACGATGCACACTCACTTTTATGGCATGAAAGCTCAGTTCGGTTTGAGTGGAGGTGCGGGTTTTGTTCGCAATTGGTTTGTGTTTAAACAAGACGTGACGGGTGTTTTGTTGTGCAAAGATACAAGCTGCTGTTTAGGACTAATGTAGGTGAATTACATTTTATTGCCCCCATGACGGAATAAGGAGGAGACTTGGAAGTACCGTCCCTCCGTACGTGTTGCGAGCTGGATAACTTGAGAAGTAAGTGAGGTATCGACTTCCCCTTTGGTGTATGGATACATCTAGGTGTATAAAGGTTTCCTGTCAAACACTGGGTTGCCACGTCAAAATCCAAAATGGCCACCGTCATACATACATGCTCACCGCTCTCGTCGTCTCCCCCCTCCCCCGCAGAATGTCTACGTCACTATGTGCTTGTTTGTGCGAGGTGTTTTTTAATATCAGAGTTTTTTCTTCTCAGGCAGGAAAGAAAAAAAAAAGTCCGATAGGAATGTTTTCGCCTCCAATTCCTACATGTGTCCAGTTTCACAGAGCTCACTTGTAAATGAGTCTTCTAGGCTCAAGGTGACTTGTCTGTCTAAATAAAGGTTGAATGAATTTGTGTGGAATGTGTCGAAGCTCGGCAGCACTCAGACTGGATTACGTGGAGCTGCGTCAGAGAGAGCTCGGCAGCACTCAGACTGGATTACGTGGAGCTGCGTCAGAGAGAGCTCGGCAGCACTCAGACTGGATAACGTGGAGCTGCGTCAGAGAGAGCTCGGCAGCACTCAGACTGGATAACGTGGAGCTGCGTCAGAGAGAGCTCGGCAGCACTCAGACTGGATTACATGGAGCTGCGTCAGAGAGAGCTCGGCAGCACTCAGACTGGATTACGTGGAGCTGC